GTTATACCCAACATATTCATATATATAAAATACGTATACAATTTAAATGATTTAAAACATGTATATAACGTTCATTCAGCATAGACAGCAAATATTCAGATAATATGCACACATAGCACGTAGTTTATATAAAATACTTCATATCTATATGTAAGATGAAATGGAACTATGCACTCACCTGACAAGGTGATGACTTGGTACTCGTTACTGTTAAAACAATTTCCCTCGGACAAAACCTAGTATCATTACCACTAGAGTTTAGTCTAACGTTAACTGCGACTAATTAATAGTCTAGATATTATTATTATTATATAAGCGTTAAGAAACACTCTTATATAACTCATAATAATATCCCAAATACTCATTTTAATTTCCTAATAACGTTACTATATTAAAACATAAGCTATACAAAAGATAGGGTAGGCATAGCTCACTTACAGCGGGTTTTTTCGCAAAACTGGGCTTCGCTAGAGCAGCGTTTCCGAGCTGAAAGGCTCCTCCTCTCGGAGCTTCCCGATGCTCCGGGACTTGCTTCTAACTCCTTGGAGGTGCTAGGGAAAAACCTTGAAGGTTTGGGGGTATTTGGGAGGAAAGAAGTGGAGAGTTGTGAAGAAAATGGGAGATTTTCGCCTCTATTTATAGGCTCCAGAGCCGAGTACGCCGAGCGTACTTGATGTGCACAAAAGTACCCACTAATTTTAATATTTATAACCTAACAAACTAAGACTAACTATGCACTTATAGGCAGTGTACCTAGTCAGATTACAGTATAGCTTAGGTAAGTCGGGTGTCGATCACAAGGAACGGTGTTACTAATTAACCTAATTACTAATAAATTAACCTAATTTATTAACAAATTTAATAAGGGGGTTTTATCTGATTTTGCAAGATCAAATGAACTTAATCAAATTAATAAAAACACACTCTTGCTTAGTTGAATCCACTTCTTCCTTATGGCTAGCTAATGATTATGGGTTATTAAGTTGGGTTTTAGTTATATTAGTAATTTAGTTCTATCTTACCAATAAGTAACTAATTCATGTTAAACCATGTATGTTCACACATAATTAAACACAGAACTAATTATGAATGTGAATATGCTATGTAAGATTTGTTGTATAAACGCAATTATGGTCACAATTTACGTTCTCTAGCACAGCTAAGATTTATTTAGCCTAATTACTAACTAAGATTGGTCAATCCTAGCTCTAACAATTTAATGTTCACTAAATTATTAGGTAAACAAGTTCATGTAGTTTCATAGTCACTAAGCTACACAGAACATGCAATCTAGCAATTAGATAAGCAAATATACATATCAAACACAAACAACTCTTACCAACTCAAATTAATCCATAAACATATAACTATTCATAAGTTCAAAGCTTCATCTAGCTAAGCAAAAGTAGCTAGATTTAGCTGCTCATCATAGTAATTAAACTAGCACAGCTAAAACTAATGAAAAACATGTTTATAATCAACTAAATATAAAACTTTACTTCTTTTGGTGTTGAAATCCCTCTTCCAGGACCTTTCTTTTCTTCTGAAACGTCTCCTGGAACTCCTTTTCTTCTGCCAAAAGTCCCTTTATTCGTAATAATAGGAGAACTTATATAATCCTCAAAAACTTGCGCCACATCGTGGCCATATGCGCCACGTCGTGGGCTCCAAGTAAAACGTATCCTTCAAGGAAATCCTCCGCGTTGCGATGTTTATCTACTGGAACACCCGTGCCACGTCGTGGGATGCACCGCCACGTCGTGAATTAAGCTCTTATTATGAAATTATTATTTTCTTGTCTTCCAAGCCTCCCATGTTCCCCATTTTGTCACCTCTGGTCCCTCTCTTCGAAAATCCTTTGTATTGACTGAAAATAACAATTTAAACTCATAAATATCACTATTCTGTACATATTATCAATTTATTAATAAAAATGTACTTAAATACTGCCTAAAAATAAGTATAAATATGGCAATATCAGTACTCAAAAATTATGCTAAGGGTAATGGTTACGCTGAGCGTACGCAAAATTACGATGGGCATAATGAGCCACGTGTCACCATCTGGTGGCTAGCCTTGGGGAGGAAACAACGGCTGTGATCGCACCACGTCACCCAAACTCGCACAACACCCTCCCGACTTAGAAAAATCATAACTTTCGTATACGAGCTCCGTTTTCGACGTTCTTTATATCCACGCGAAGGTGGGAATGTACTCTACAACTTTCGTTTAGACTCTATCTGCTAATTTTGGATCGATTTTAAATTTTATATTATTAATAGGCCGGGACAGGATTGGTCCGTTAAATTCTCATAACTTCTTCATCCGATGTCCGTTTTAATCCATCTTTTTCTCGTTACGCTACTCTTAACGAGATCTTCGATTCTCATTTAGGTTGTGTCGGCTAAAACCGCTCGATCTAATATTCGAATTTCGGACTGTACACTGCTAATCCGAAACTTCGAAAAATCATAATTTCTTCATACGAAGTCGGATTTGGGCGTTCTTTTTATCGATGTTTTTAGTTTAACATATTCTATGACTTTAGTTTATATTTCTAAGGCTAAAACTCGCTCTATCGTAAATTCACTATTTACGCTTCCCGGTGCCATGCCGGTTCCGTCGCAAAACTTCGACGGGTCATAACTTCTTCGTTATAACTCGGATTTCGGCGTTCTTTATATGTACGGAAACCTTGTAACATATTCTACAACTTGGTTAAGATTATTTATTCTAAATAATTTTTTGTCGAAAAGTCATTTTCGACCCCTATTGCCTCTAAATTAACTAGCCCGGATTTACGGGCGTTACACTCCTAGTCCTCTACTCTTCTACACAACCTTACTAATGACTGAAATACCCTTGTTGCGGGTTCCATGATCTGGAAATCATTTTGCATAATGATGGAGATGTTGAGAGCCGAAAATATTTGTGATCAAAGGATCTTAACAAAAACAAACCTATAGAGAGTTCGATGTTCATATTCACCAAGGATACAACTTGTAAATTATACATAAAAACTTATACATCACTCAAGCCTCAATGCTCCATCATTAACTATACAAAAATAATGTAATCGGTTGGATCTCATAGCAAAAAAACACACAATAGAATGACATAATCTGACAGAATTACATCAGAAATGTCGGAATCCTGCACAAAAACATTGTTACCATCTTTCTACAAACTTAGAATCTGCATAAATCTTTAAATAAATAGCAAATCATCTCACTAAATTGAAAAAAATAGTGTTATAATATGAGATAACATTTTGTTAAACATCTGATGGGTTTTTTTTAATAAAGTTGTAAATGAAAAAGAGCCGACTATAGTGAATAAGGTAGTGTTTGTTTTTTGTCTGCAGATCTGCGAGATGTCTTCTGTCTGCGCCGCGCAGACCACGCGCAGACATTAGTCTTCGCAGACTGTTTGTTTTTTTGAAGACTGCAGACCTAAAAATGTCTGCGCGCCCTCTTCTTGGCGCAGATGTGGACCAGAGTCTTCTAACATCTTCAGACATCTTCTAGCTTAAAAAAACATATATATCTTTATTTTTTTTAAGTTTTTTTTTTAATTTATATTTTTTCCAACTTTATTAATGATAAACAATATGAAAAAAAAAATACAAAACTTAAAAAAAAACATTTGACGATACAAACATGATATTTTTAACAAATTTAGAAATAAAAATTTATTATAATAATAGTCGCTGAAGTTGTTTATATAAATATGAAAAAAAAATCATAATATATTCTTATATTTTTTTGCCAAAATTTTGTAAAACTTTATTTAATAGAGTATCATCAATTTCTCGAGAAAATATTTATCGTACGTTTTTAATAGATTTATTTGAAAAAATCGAAGTTTATTTCCATCTATTTATGTATCAAATTCTTTGATCACTAATTATAATGTTTAGTTATAACTTTACAATCAAAGTTGTTGGTTTTTATCAAATATGTATATGAATTAATACCATTTTTATTTTTATTTTTTATATAATAATACATAAAAGTTGATCTAGATTCGTTATATATTTATAATAAAGTCATAAAAATATATAAAAAATTCGCTTTGAAGTTTTAAAAAATCAGTTTATTTAGATTTCAGTTTATTTTAATAGCCCGCAGATGTTAAAAAAACAAACAGTCTTCTTTTTTCAGACTGCAGACGTTTGGTCCACCTCTTCTACTGCAGAGGTCTACAGATGTGGTCCGCAGACTGCAGACATTTTGCCTCAGAAAAAACAAACAGCACCTAAGTCTCAATTCTTTAAGAAGGCTAGAAAAAGAGTTGAACTTACACATATTCAATCAGAATCATAAATCAATTGTCAGCACCAAGTGAATAAGTCTCAATTCTTCAAAAATCAAAACTTCCACCAATAAGAAATCAAAAAACTTTCAATTCTGAGGGTTCAGTTGTTCAGAATAAATAAATAAATAACTTGGAATAAATTTATAAAACCAGAAAAGAATAGGAAAAGAAATCGATTTAAACATTGACATTTGCATCATGCAATCATTGACTTAAGGAAATCAGTCGATGTGATCATCAGTATGCGTTTTTTTTCCTCTGAGTTCTGTGAAATCCAATTAGTAGAAGCAGGATGTCAATCTGTGAAATCCATGGGAACGTGATGTATCAATATTTTTAAGAAGGAAGAAGTGTTCACGTATCAATTTTTCTTTCAAACGAAGTCAATAACGAAACGACACAGTTTTAAGTATTGGGTTTGTAATCTTATATACGGTATCTTCACTATTCCTATATATATATATATATATATATATATATATATATATATATATATATATATATATATATATATATATATATATATATATATATATATATATATATATATATATATATATATATATATAATGGATAATGGTTTAATTCAAACTTACAATGGCATTGGCAAGTTGATCATTGACCTTTTACAATGGTTTTGACTTCAAGTATTGCAACTAATGCACTCAAATCCGGAGCCTCTAAACTTGTGCAGTCAAGTTAGGTTGCATGAAGTTTACTCAATAAATTTAAAAACATTATTCCGCGATTTCTTTAAAACCTTAGATATTTAGTTCAAACTTTCAATCATCTCAAATTTGTCTTTAGCCATGATCTCTTCCACCTTCAACTTCTCATCAACAGCAATTTGGAAAACACTTGCATTTTCAACATTAATCCTCATCGTCCTAATCATTTTCTCGAACCAACCCAATTCTCTACAGACCGATATCATTCATGTTGCAACTAATCAGTCCTTCTTACCACTCAACACCACAAACATTTCCCATCTTGTTTTTGGACTTGTGGGGTCTACAAAAGCATGGCGCTATCGGAAATCCTACATCGAGTCATGGTGGCGTCCAAACACCACCCGCGGATACCTCTATCTTGACAGGACCCCGACTGATGATCTCTTGCCATGGTCACAGAATTCTCCTCCTTTTCGTATTTCTGATGATAATTCAAAGTTATTGGTAGAAACGAAGCATGTTGCACCAATCATGGTGCGGATGGTGCATGCAGTTATCGAGGTTTTTAGGGAAGAGAGAGAAGGGGTACGATGGTACGTCATGGGAGATGATGACTCGATCTTTTTTGTTGACAATTTGGTGGATGAACTATCGAAATATGATCATACTAAGTATATATACATTGGAGGTCATTCAGAGAGTATAATCTCGAATCAAGTTTACTCGTATGACATGGGATTTGGTGGAGCTGGACTCATATTGAGTTATCCGTTGGCAAAGATGGTGCAACAAAATATTGAAGACTGTTTTAGAAGGTATCCGTATTTGAACAGTGCAGATCTGATTTTGATGACTTGTGTGAATGATTTTGGAGTTTCAGTGACTCCTCATCAAGGTCTTCATCAGGTATGATTGTCGTTGTTTAAATGGTGTGGTAAATAGCATGCTTGAGTTTCAATATATGCAAAAATGGAAAAGAAAAAAAAAAAAAAAAAAAAAAAAAACAAGGACATCAAATTAATTATATAATAAATTAAAATTTGATCAATTCAAAATATTCAATATCCACTTGTTTAATCTGACTTTTGATGAGAAAAATTTAAGAAAAGAATGTCGTGGCTACACCTTTGTTTGCTAAAGAAGTTGTCGTTAAGGCTATTTTTTTAAGAATAGCTACTAAAATGCATAAAATTGCAATTAAAATGCAGAAAAATTGTATCAGTAAATGGAGAAAAACAGTAATTATATAAAATACTTAGTATAAAATTCATAATATATGTTAAAGTTATTATTTATGCAAATTAAAACATTTACGAAACATAAAACTAGTCCTACACGGCTACACCCCATCATCATCATCCGCATCCCCCTTGTTCCCTCGTTATTGACTCCGCTATCATTTTGTGTCGATAACAATTTAAAGAAGTTTGCGATTCTACCTTCATATGCCGGGTCACTTAGTATAACATCAAGACAATATGGCTTCAAAGTAACTATGTACATTAGAAAACTTATAGGTTAAATCAATAAAGTAAAATAAATGGAATTTTAAAACTAACAATTATCAAAATATCAACAAAGAGAAAAATACAAATTACCAAATTAAATATAAAACTGCAAAAATGTCAACATAAACCAAAATACCAAAAATATCAAACCATCTAAGTATTTGGAAGCCTTTACAAGTTCATCGTACATGTTCTTGCCAATCTACTTTATTCGTTCGGTGGTTAAAGAATGCCAAACGATTTTCTCAAAAATCGACAAAGCACCGAAGGTCCACTCCTTTTATGGAAGATTATCAAATATGCTAAAACATACAAGAAAAGTTAATTCTCTTTAAGTTTAGCTTCCAAAAAGCTTACGACTCCACGGTATTCAGATGGCATACTTCAAGCTACCGGCTTAGGAAATAAATAAAGAGCGTGGATTCAAGCGCCTTACCTCCTCTACAGCTTCCATTCTAATCAATGGGTCTCCAACCATAGAGTTCAAAATGAAGAGTGGTCTTCGCCAAGGCGATCCTCTTTCTCCATTCCTTTTCTTTCTAGTCATGGAATAGAGAGAGAGAGAGAGAGAGAGAGAGAGAGAGAGAGAGAGAAAGAGAAGTTTTATCAAATGTTTCCAAGTGGGTGATGTCGATTGTGATGTGTTGCACCATTTCTTTGCAGACAATGCGATGTTTGTCGGAGATTGGGACAGTGAAAATTTAATTTAGGTTCTTACATTTTTCAAATTACTTCGGGCATTTAAATCAATACTTCAAAAAGTAAGCTTGTTGGTGTTGGTGTTGGTTCTTAAGATTACCAATTTGGCAAACTTCATCAATTGCAAAAAAGAAAACCTTCCATGTACCTTATGTTGCTGATTAAACAAAATATGTCTAGAATCAATGTTGGGAACCCGGTCATTTATAAATTCAAAAAAATAAATAAATAAATAAATAAAACATCAAGGAGGAAAGTTAAGGTTGTATCTATTAGAAGTCTTTCTTATAAAGTTCCTCCCTGGTTTGCTTGGCTCTTATTACGTATCTTCTTTTAAAGCTCCAAAAAAGTTCAAACATATTCTTGAAAGCCCTATAAGAGATTTCGTTTGGGGTGCAAATGGTGACGCCATAAAGACTATGGAATAAATGGACACTTGCTCTCTCTAGCAAAAACAAATGGGCTTGGGGATTGGGAGCCTCTTTGGAGCGATCCACTTTCCTCAGTTATGTTTGTTTTTTCTAAAAAATCATTTTTGGTCACTTATTGCTATGTCGTGTAGCACACGCACACTAGACCATTTGTAGCTATTTGTTTTTCAGAAGACTTCTAGCTTAAAAATTGTTGCGTGTGTGCTGCATGGCGTAGCACTAAATCATCTGCTTCAAACAATTTCACACCTTACTTTGATTTATTTCAACATTCTGCAGACGTTAAAAAACAAACAGACTTTTTATCACATTCTGCAGCCGTTTGGTCTACCTCTTCTGCTATAAAAGGTTGCAGAAGTGGTCCGCAGACTTCAAACATTTGCATTTCAAAAAAACAAACAACACCTAAATGAAATGGAGATTCCTTAATGAACCTAACTATAAGTGGGTCAAAGTTATTGAAGGTATATAAAGAAATAATGGCAGTTTTAACTCGATCATCACCCAAAGGTATTATTCCATTTGCCTTGTTATCATATTATCTTGTAATGATTGTGTTAATTTGGGGTTAAATCTCAAAGAGGCCATTCCTAGGAAGGTAGAGAATTGAATTTTACCAGCTTTTAGGAGGCTAAATGGGCCCAAGGTTTACTTTTCAAATCCTAATTTCATCATTTATAAGCTTTGGAGAAGTATCAATATTGTTATGTAGTTGATCATCTTTCTTCCTTAGGCTTCTATTGGAATGGAGGAGGGAAATCGGGGGCGGTATTGAGAAACATGAATTTCAAAATATGTCAAAAAAAATATTGGTTTTGTTATTTTTTCTAATCAACAGGAATGTTAGGTATGGAATTTTAGATGTATAAGGAGACTTCATTGTTAAACATGTTATAGAGAATTTGATGCTTGTTTCCTTACATGATTAAACCAAGGTTACTAATTGGAACTCCATCTTGTTGATTAAAGTTAACATATTTAGATGGAGGTTGTCTTAGAATGGCCTTCCAACCAGGTGCAACCTAGATAAGAGAGGAATATATATCCATTTTGGTATATGCCCTCTTTGCAACAATCTCCTTGATACCATTGACCACATCTTTGGTTTTGTTAATTTTTTCCAACAAATTCATGTCAAATTAGCTCTTTATTGATGCAATAACCTACATGTTTCTTCCTTCAAACAAATTCTTTTTGGGCTTCAACGAACTTCTGGTAAGTCTTAGATGTCAGATGCGGTCATCGTGTGTTGCTTATGATCTATCTGGATTTTTAGGAATAAACTCTTATTTGGAGTTCTCAACCCCAAAAGGGGGATGTTATTGATTCAATTTTATACCACTCCTTCATGTGGGTTGCTTATAGGATTGGGGGATCGAATGTATCTTGGTATAAATGGGAAACCCGACCATTGTTGTTAGAATGATTTAACCCTATTATATATGTTTTTCTCTCTCTAATTCCTTATTAGAGTTTTTATTGAGCCAAAGTTATAAAAGAAGAACATATACCAAAATATCAATAAAAGGATTCCAAACTTACAATTACCATAATATCAACATAAACCAAACTACAAATTACCAAATACCAAACTACCTCAACATAAACCAAAATACCAAACTACTAAATTACCAAAGTAACAACATAAATAAGTACCAAATTACAATATATATATATATATATATATATATATATATATATATATATATATATATATATATATATATATATAAAATTAAAAATTAAAAAAAAAATAAAAAATTAGCATGGTCCAAACTACAAAGTACCAAACTACTAAAGTACCAAAACATTATCATAAACAAACTAGTAGAGTAAGAACATAAACCAACCTACCAATTGTCGAAGTTTATTATAAATAATGAATATACACCAAAATTACCAAACTAACATGCATTCATTGATAGTTATATGAGACTTTGAAATTATATTAGCTAGTTTTACATGTGTATAGTGCGATGTCTTTGACTGTTGTGGTGCCTATGATACTGACTATCCCTTAGAGTAACTCGATGTTGCAAAATAAGTTTATGTCTAATGCCTTTAACACGATCTCATCAAGCACTCTATACCTTTTCAAGTATGGCTACCTCATCCAGTAGTGTTGGATTACACTCTTCATCTAATCCTTAAGTTTATAGTTCTAACTATTGTACTAAATCATGTCGTATTTTTCAAAGATGGTTTGATAGATTAATATACACACATATTCACTTTAAACAAACACTTACATATTGTTGCTCAACTAATGAGCTATTGAATGTACCGTCTTTACTTGTATGAACATCGTGGGTGTCTATCAAAATGAAAAAGCAAAGGTTTCCCCTGTTCTTCGCCATTGATTGTGAGAGGTTAAGGATTTTTGCCTTGCCCCTTATTTTTTGGGATCGAAAAACTTCGATTATAATTAAAATAATATTAGTCAATATAATTTATAATAAACAAATAGATATACTAAATAAATCAATCATAATAAGGCTTGACATCCAACTCGTGTTGACGATTGCTTCCACCCAATAGAGGTGGTGGATCCTCATGGTCAACTTTGTCACGGCCCCGACATATGACATCAGCCATCAAGTAAAGAAGAATAATCCAAATGAATGTCACAGTTTGAAAAAGTTATAAGATATGGAATACAAAAAAAAAACATTAGGAATAAAGTTTTCTATTACATCATGAAAAATCATTAAGTGTCTCTCTCATATACAAATAAAGTTGTATATTTCAAATAGAAAATATGAGTGTCTCTTTTAAATATAAATAAGGTTTTATATTAAAAATAAAGTGATTTATAGGGTGTTTGGGATAACTTTTTAAACTAAAAAATCTTTTTTAGAAAAGAACTTTTTGATTCATGTCTTTTTCTAAAAGATAATTTTAAAATGTGTTTGTTTAAACTTTTGAGGGGACAAAATAAAAAAATGCAAAAGTTGCTAAAAGTCACCGATTCCTGACTTCTTAAACCCCTTCTTTTTCTTCTTCTCAAAAACACAATTTAAAAGATCTTTTCAAATTACCAAATAACTTTTTAAACTTTTGACTTGTTGGAAAAGCAAAAAATCACAAAAGTCATTTAAAAAGCAAAGTCAAACACCCTCTTAATCATACTCACCCTTAAATACGTCAGTGTCTCTTTTATACGTTTTAGTATCGTAATCAGTCTCATCCTAGATACCCAATGGTAGAGTAACTTCATTTCCAGTCTCTCCCTCGGTATCATAATCAATTGATCATAATGAAAGTACTCGGTGTAGTCGTTACAAGTTTATATAGAAATATATACTAAAATATATATCGGAGAAACAAAGAGAAAATGAGAGTTGAATCTTTCTTAAACAAACAAGCATGTAATGCGCATTCACATCCTAAATGATATAAAGTATTAAAAAAAAATAAAGCAATCCCAAAATAAGAACAACCCAAAATTAATTTCTAAATCAGTTTTTTGATGAGTATTCTAAGCTCACGTTCATTTAAATGAAGACACATAAACTAAATATCAATGTTTCAATGTAGTTTCATATTTTTGTTAGTTATAGCATCCTACTTTTTTTTCTATTAAAACATTATACTTTAAATAGTTCACTTATTAAATACTATATAGTATTTTAGTTTGAATATAAGAAATAACATCTTATATTTATTGTTTTCATTTTTTTCTCCTACATCATTGTACTTTAAGTATTATTATTTTTTTACATATTTTATTTAAGCGAAAACCAATATATTATATTTAAATGTAAGATTTGTTTGTTTAGGAATGTATGTTTCTTAATCATAAATTGGGAGGAAAATGATTCTTAAGACATAAGAAAACATATTACATGTATTTCAATGATTTGTAATTAAGTCATTACAATCTAAGCTGATGATGATTTATCTAATTAAGTCATTGCAATTTAGAGTTTAACTAATTAAGTCATTACAAACTAAGCTTATTATGATTACATAACAAATATATTAAGTCTTTAATAATTATGGCACAACAAGACCACAATTTAGGGATTATATAATTAAGTCATTACAACAAGATTACATAACAAATGCATTACGTCCTTAACAATTAAGTCATAACAAAAACACACTTTAGGGATTATCTAATTAAGGCATTACAAGATGATTACATAACAAATGGCTTAAGTCGTTAAAAAAATTAATCGCAACAACAAACACACTTTAGGGATTATCTAATTATTACCAGATAATTACATAACAAAGCATTAAGTACCTTCCAAGCAGATTAACAAAGCATTAAATCATTAACGCTCAAGTCCTTACAATCCATAGCGTTATGGTTAATTCATACTTAAAGAAAGAGAGTTTGGTCTCCTAATCACAAAAACGGGAGGTAAAAATGATTAAATCGGTGGTGGTGGTCATTGTGGTTGTTGACAAAGAGAAAGAAAGAGAAAAAGATGTGTCGGTTTCAGAGGGAGATAGAACCCTAAATCTCTTGTGTTTTGAACGAGAGGAGATAGAAACGCAATATGATATAAGACAGAAATATAAGACGACAGAGTTTTTTTAGGAAGATGGACATATTAAAAAGTCCATGCATCTTTCTTATTATATTTTAGACATTAAGATGTGACGTACATTCGAGTACGTCCAGAATGTTCACAAATGATGACAAATTTACGACAGACAATTCTGTTTATCGTAAATCTTTAAAATTTCAGAAAATGACATAAGTTTTACAAGATACTTTTTATATATCAAAAAATCAACATATTTACCCACATCCAGAATATGCATAAACCTTCTTTTCCAACCATCTCTATAGTTTTTAGATCTCTAACTAAAGCTTCACCGGAACATCTAAGCATACTCTCCAATGCTTAGGTCTTACACATTATTAAATAAGTAGTATATCGCCATTAAAAAATACGTTATACTAAAATGTATATTTCAGGTAAAATAGTCAAAGGAAATTTATGTATTTGTACTAAAAAAGATAAGGTAAAGTTTCTTGTCCTATCTATACCATGTAATAATGTATGATTGCTATATATATTTGTAGCCAAGTCTAAATATTTTAAGTATCTTTACAGATGGATATACGTGGAGATGCATCAGGATTTCTATCTGCCCATCCAAGAGTTCCATTACTTTCCCTTCATCATTTCGACCACATAGATCCTATTTTTCACTCTATGGATCGATTCGAATCCACAAATCATCTCATGAAAGCTGCAAATGTCGATCAACCTCGTTTGATTCAACAAACCATATGTTACAATAGAAATTTGAATTGGTCATTTTCAGTTTCATGGGGCTACTCGGTTCATATCTATGAGAAACTCATACCTCGTAGCATCCTAAAGATCCCACTTGAGACCTTCAAGCCATGGATACAAAAAGCCAAGCCACCTCTTTACATATTCAACACAAGAACACTTTCAAATGACCCATGTGCAACTCCTCATGTATTTTCATTCGAGTCCATAAAGAATATCAATGATTATGAAAGTAAAATCATTACAAGTTATACTCGCTTTGGTTCACGTGGGTTACCAACATGTGGATTCGCAAACAATCATTCTGTAGATTCCGTTTCAAGAATTAACGTTGTTTCACCGAATAGAAAACCCAACCAAGTAAGTTTGATTGTTTGAATATCACATTCAAAAAAAGTTTGTAAATCATCACTAAATATGTATATATATGTATAACTAAAATTATTTTTAACTTAAATATCGAATAATATTATTGGTTTGGTGTAGAATGGGAAAACAGAATGTTGCGATGTACTTGAGATTGATGACATGGGAGTCGCAAAGCTAAATTTGAGGGATTGCATGAACGATGAGTTAATTGCATGAGATTAAGTTTTTCAGAACTATAATATTCTAATTGTGAATTGTGATCAAGTTTCTTTTAATTTAACATTATCAATGAACTTGAAGTTTGTATTAATTAAGCATATGTCAAAAACCTTCGTTGACTTTTTCTTGGGTGTTTGAGAAACATATATAAATGAACTCGATTCTCTATCCTTCTACAATTTACAATCCCATATTATATATGGTTTTGGAATGAGATTATGAATTTATGATTAGTAAAGTCATGAAAAGAATATGTTTTTAAACAAGTTTTGGTAATTATTTTCAAGAAAAACATATTCTGTAAATCTAAAAAAAGGCCTTGTTTTTATGCGGTTTTGGGTTTTTGTGGTGGTGGAGGTGGGAAGACAAATCGGTAAAACCATCCAGCCAAAATTGCGCCTAATGATGGACATATCCAGTAAACATAAAACTGCTCCCATGTGTTATGTTTATTATTCACATATGCCCACCCAAATGCCTGTGATCATAATCATAATCAGAATCAGAATGTTTTTAATGTTAAAAAGAAGTGTAAATCTTGTAAAAGATCGTATATGGGGATCAAGGAACTATGTTGATTAGAAACAGAAAAGGGTTTTGTAATACTTACATTTGCAGGATTCATGGAAGGACCTGTGTAACTTGAACCAACAAGAATCACAACCATAGTTGCCATGGAAAGCATCCAGTTCTTCAAGAACAAGCTGTTAGGACCCTTGATGATGATCAAGAGAACAACGAAGGTGATAACGAAAGTCAAAACTCCCTCAGCAATGGCTCCAGTATGCAAATCGACTTTTAGTGTAGGTCCTTCTAGCAGATGTTTGTACTCTAATGGCATCAGCTCCAAAAGAGCCATGACACCACCAGCTGCACCAATCGCCTGTCGACAATTCAGAAATCAAACACTGTTTTTACATGTTTAGCACTAATAATCAACAAATATTGATCCAATTCTGCGCTATTTATAGTTGAATGTAACGATCTGTTTTCGCAATTTCAACTGTAACCTAACAATTTGGGTAATTGGAAACCCTTAATTCGTCAAAAATTAGGAGTACGAAAAGTAATGTTTGGTTGTATTACCTGAGCAGGAAAGCGGACGGCGGTGGACATGAGTGTATCATCGTCGCCACCGGCACCGGCGATACTAAACGCAATTGTACCGATCGCATTGAAGCTAGCGCCACCGAAGGCATCGGCAATCAATCCAAACACGACGGAGATAACAAATATAAGGGAAGTAGTGATTGCAAGGGAAGCCAGCCCTCCGGCGCCCATCGAATTAGTAATAATGGAAGTGGCAGCGCCGAGGGTGGAAGCACAGAATATCCACATGAAGGTCACCACCGCATCACCAACTGCCGCCTTCACCACCCCCATATCTAGAAATGAACGGATTCAGCTTTCCGGTGTAACAGAATCCGCAGGTGAAATCAGTTCACCTGAATATGGATTAGAGAACGCCACCTAAAATCAAAATTTCAGCGGATTGATTGTTGATGATGAAGATTTTGGGATCGAGAAATCAGTGATCTAGGGGATCTGGAAATTGTTTAGGCTCCTGTTTCAATGAGTTAGGAGATAAGTTTGACTATATGATGTGAATTGTGAAGTGAAGTGTATATCTCATTCTTAATATCCACGTTCAAGATCCATGAGCTTTTTAGTAGCAATATAACGTATTTTACTTTATTTTATTTGAGCGATATAAATAATATTATTTGGTTTTTTATATATAATAATAAATAATAAATAATATACATAGCCATATTAAAAGAAAAAATAAAATGTTGCTATCGACATAATTTGTCATTAAAGCTATCTTTTTTGTCCGATTTTAACATGTCGACTGACAATAGAGTAATAGTTTTATTAATTGTATAAAATTATTAGGTAGAAATGTATAGTCCCTTTTGACGTGTAAATTAATGAACTCGCTGATTTGCAAAATGGCAAATTGTATGAAAAGTATTACAGTTTGGACTTCGGGTTTAATAATCAAAAGATTTTTTTTTATGTTTTAACTATTGAGAGTTTGATTTTTTTTAAGAAAACATCATATAAATCTTGATCTTTATTAATATAATTTGAAATTTATTTTGTTTAACTCTCGATGAAATTTTAATATTCGATTGAACCATTAAATGTTTGAATTTTATTTAAAATGGTTTTATTAAAAAAAAAAAGATTCAAATATTAAAGTAGAAAAAAAAAATCGTGGTTAAACAAAAACAAATTCAAACTATGTGTTTTTTGTGGAATACGGAAAAAAAAATGACTTCACTTGTAGGTTTGGTAATATACGATTCTGATATACTTAAACATTTTAATGACGAACACTTTATGTATGTCACAAAATGAGCAGCTGTCAACACTATAATTGAATAAATGCCACATTACACATGCCAAAACTTATATATCAGATTCAATAAAGAAGATTCTTTTTTTCTTTTTAACTTTTAAGAAATGTCGTATATAAGTAAGTATATTCAGATCCAGTTAAAGCATGAAAAGAAAGCACCACTGCCCAATCTTTTTTCACAAGTATGGCCTCCACCCTTTACTTCTTTTTCACTCTTGCCTTCTAAAAGAAGAAAGTCAAGAAATCTTGCAAAACTAGAAATTGCAAAAGGTTGGTTTATATGAATCTAAATAGTCCCAACTTAAATCAAACAGTTAAATTTAAACAAGGGCAGAATTTGGTATATACCTTTCCTAAATAGCTAAATATCGTATTTGTCCAGCTTAAATTCCAAATATCGTATTTGTCATTCCTAATATTTTTTAATATCATATATGCCCAAATTTATTTTTTTAATAATTTTTATTGATTTATATTTCTTTTTATATTAATTCATTATAATTGAAAATATATATGAATTGGACAATAATGCCCTTGCTTGTAAACTCCTATACTACATACGATCGTGATATACTACCTGTATTGCTGCTACCTGTTAGCACTTCCGATCGACTGCTGCTTCCCTAATATCTCATCACGTTCACACATCAGGTAAACAATAAGCGATCCTTTTCCAATTTTGCATTTCTTTAATTTTGTTATTGATGTTTGATTTGTTCCCGTGAATGTGTTAAACGCATCAGGTTAACAATAAGCGACCCTATTCTTATTTTTCCTTTCTTTAATTTTGTTATTGATGTTGTTTGATTTGTTCATGTCAATTTGTTGAAACGTTGGTATCTTGATGTTTCAAACTGAATTAATTAACGTGATATCATGGTATAAAGACTTTGAAATCTGAATAATTCAAACTATTTGTGTATGATTCGATGCCTTTTGTATCAAATTATACATGTTTACTGTTTTCCACACATAAATCTATAATTAATTCAAGGTTTAAAAAACTGTAATTAATGTCAATAACGTGTTGAAACCTATACTTGATTACAATCTTGAATTCTTTCTACTATGTTAATTTTGTGTGATCTTGATGTTTGAAGCTACCAATGCCTGAAGATCATTCTCAAAGAGAAGATATTACACTTCATGACACATCAAAACCAATATGGGAGAGCAGGGCTACGTCTCCAATAATCGAGTATGTTTATGTAAATATCTTAATTTTAATTTATTAAACAATTTAAACTTTTACTAAATTGTATGATTGTTTGTCTAATTAATTTTCAATTTCAGGCGTATACCAACATCCAAGTTCAAGTTAAAATTGAAATATGGGGGTTATTTTCGTCTAACAAAGAACGATTGTAGGCAAATATATTGCTTTAGCTCTCAAAAATGTATCTACATAGACACACTTTTGTACAAGTTAAGTCAACTACATGAAGAAGTGACAAAGCGTTATGAATCAAAGAATAACCCAAAATTTTCTATTCTTTATGTTGAAAAGTATACACCAGACAAATCCTTTATTGAACTTGATTCTGATGAAAAGTTCATGGCTATGCTTAGCATGTATGGAAGCAAGAAACAAGTAATAATTTATGTGACAACAAAGAATAACCTCGGCTCCAATAACCATACTAACAATTTGTGTGTCAACAGAGATGAACCACACAATGAGTATGATGCAGACCTTTGTCCTAGTGAAGAAAGCTATCATAGTCATCTCATCTCTGATAATGAAGACGATCTAATGAATGATGATGATGAAGTTTACTCAGTTAGTAAGAATAGTATACGTATGGAAGTCGACTCAAAATTTGAAAGCGTGGTTGATTTTAGGAGATCTTTGAACCACTTTGCAGTCACAAATGAGTTTAACTACTACATTCAGAAAAGTGACCCGACAAGATTCACAGCAAGGTGTGAAAACCTAGAGTGTGAGTGGAGAATTCATGCTTCTATTACACAAGATGAAGTTACCTTTGAAGTAAGTGTATACCTTAAGTTATACTTAACACCTTTTATATTAAAAATATATTTATGTTTATTTAATTTTTTTTTTAGGTTAAGAAAATGGTAGAAGTACATACTTGCACTTGAAGTAACAAGGCTGGCAATAAGCATGTCACGCAAGGATGGGTCGCTAATGTAGTTACTGACAAGTTGAAATCTGATGGGGATGTCTCTCCATATGAGCTTAGAAATTGGATTATGAAAACTTACAATGTTGACGTACCATACCTATAAGTTTTTAGAGGGAAAGAGCAGGCTTATACTGACATGTATGGTAAGTGGGAAGACTCTTTCATAAAGATGGATGAATTTAAAGAAGAACTATTACGAAGGAACGAAGGAAGCGTTGTTGAAATTGACTTTGACATAGTTGGTAGAAAGAAACTTTTCAAAAGGTTTTTTATTTGTTTAGTAGCTTGTTCTAGAGGGTTTGTTGCTGGTTGTCGTCTGTATATTGGTCTTGATGCCTGTCATTTGAAAGGAAAGTTCAATGGTGTACTAACTGCTGCAACTGGTATTGACGGTAATAATTCTATCTTTCCTATAGCATATTGTGTGCTTGAATCAGAAAACATACAATCATGGACATGGTTTCTTAACTCACTCAAAAAAGAAATTGAAACCCCAAATGGTCTGGTTATCTCATCGGACATGCAAAAAGGGTTAGAAGTAGCCATGATGAATGTTTACCCTAATGTTGAGCATAGAGAATGTATAAGGCACTTATATAGCAACTTCAAGAAACACTTCCGTGGTGACTTCTTTAACACCAAACTATGGGTTGCTGCAAAAACATATCGTCCTACCAAGCATGATAGATTATTAAAGGAAATTAGTGACAAAAATGAAGATGCAGTTGCATATCTAAATACTAACCACAAAAAAATATGGAGTAGAAGCAAGTTTGGTACTACTTCCAAGTGTGATTACATCACTAATAATATTTCAGAAACATTTAATTCTTGGATTGGTAAATTACAGTATAAACCCGTGCTTGATCTCCTTGACGCAATTAAGGAAAAGATTATGAAACAGTTTGATAAGAAAAAGAATTTGGTAAATACATGGAATGGTGCATTGGTTCCAATTGCTAAAAATCATCTCAATAACATCGCTAAGGTAAGAATGTTAGATATTTCAATTGAATGATTATATTTGTTTTAGTTTTTACTTCAATAATACATATATATCTAAAATATATCTTGTAGCACCTGGTTCCTGGTATGTAAATCTTATTTGAGTGTTTTCCATTTTTAGCCTTGGACTCGGCGAGTCATAGGTCCGACTCGCCGAGTAGAGCCGGGACCCGGGACACATTTTAAGTTGGCGACTCGGTGAGTCCATATCCTGGACTCGGCGAGTCACCGTTGTTGGATGAAACCCTAAGTTTCAAGGGTTTGCACCCTATTTAAACTCTCGTTCCGCCCCAATCTCTCCCCCATTCACCCTCAGAGCCCTATACCTTGTTCAAGAGTTGTTTCTTTATGAGTTTGAAGCATTTGGTGTGTTCTCTTGAAGTTTTGGAGTGAGAAAAAGAGTAGATCAAGAAGAAGAAGACGAGGTCAAGCATCTTTGAGCTTTCTCAGTGTGTTCCCTAAGGTATGACTCGATTTTCCCCTTGCTTTCATGCTTATAGTTATTTATAGCTCCATTAAAGTCTTTCTTGAACCATTTCCAAGCTTGTGTATGTTTGGGGGTTCGTAATAAGCTGAGTAACCTCTAGATCAAGGCATGGTTGAGCTACAGGAGCTCAGATCTACTGCCTTTATGGACCCATGTTGCATGAAAACCTTAGATCTACTCTTTTGGTGCATTTTGAGCCCTAAAACCCTCATAGATGGATATTTACACGTAAAGTTGGAAACTTTACGTGTTATTCATGCTCTAGGAGCCCAGATCTACGAATGACATGGACTGGATTCAAGCAAAATCGCGTTTATGGCTCTTGCATGAAGAAGACTCGGCGAGTCGCTCATCTGACTCGGCGAGTCTAGTCACGAGTCTCCGAGATTGTCCCCTTTTAGCTGTGTCGAGTTGTGTAGTGAGTTTAGGGTAGACTTGGTGAGTTGGAAGCCAAAACTCACCCATAATGGAACTCGGCGAGTCGATGCCCAGACTCGGCGAGTTCAAGGCAATCTCCTTAGATCAAGAACAGACTCGGCGAGTTGTTCATACAACTCGGCGAGTCACAGTATAAATTGTTCATCGGATGAAGATGAGCTCGGCGAGTTGTTCATACAACTCGGCGAGTGGGATGAAGGACTTGAACATCAGTTTGGAAGGACAACTTAGTCGTTTGGACATGGACTCGGCGAGTTAGCGAGCCAACTCGGCGAGTCGAGTCAACTGAAAGTTGACTCTGACTTTGACTTAGGGCATGATCAGGGGTAGAATGGTTATTTTACCCAAAGGTCAGTTAGCAGTATTTGACTAAGTGTTTGGTGGGAATTTCAGCCGGAGGATTTCCGGAGCAGCAGCAGCAGACAGACTATTCCCACACAAATCAGCAGCAACTACGAGGTGAGTTACTTTCCAGTAGCGGTGGGTCTAAGGCCACAATGCCGGCCCACCGGTAGGAGATGTGTGATTAGATGATTGTCTTTGTGATATTCATCTAGGGTTGCTACTACCTGTGTTATGTTTATGTGTTAGTGACAGTAGGGGGAGATAGTCCCCGAGAACACCGGTCGATAGAGCCGAAGGGGCAGTCATGCCCAGCCATGCTAGATAGACTATGTGATATATGTGTTATGTGGTAGTAGTAGGAGGTGAAATAGTCCCCGGACAAGTATCCGGTCGAGAGGATTGAAGGGGAGCCAGCACCCAGATATGTTAGGCAGTATCCGGTCGAGAGGACCGAAGAGGTAGGTGATAATTTATGTATGTTATGTGATTGTATGGTATGTGGTACAATAGGGGAACTCACTAAGCTTTGTGCTTACAGTTTACATTTTTGGTTTCAGGTACCTCTTCATCGAAGGGGAAGGAGCTGGCGCGGTAGCGGCACATCATGCACACACACTGGTTTCCGCATCCATTGGATTTCTCTGGGATTTATACTCTGATATTTTGATTGGTTGTATGATTTAGCTTTTAGACATGGTTTACGTTGTGATGTGGTTGATCAAACAATGATTTTAATTATTAGCGTTTTCTAAAGTAATGTTTTAAAAATGAAATTTTTGGACGTGAAAATTGGGTCGTTACATATCTATTTCTAAATTTTCATGTAGAACTTGGGTGAATATGAAGTTACTAGAAGTTATGACAATCAAGCTGAAGTGAATTACAAGGGAACACGTTGGGAGGTCAACCTAGAAGAAAGAAAATGTAGTTGTCGAGTGTAGCAAGTTCGGGGCCGACCATGTGTACATGCAGCGGCTTTTATTGCTTTTATAAGGGATGCTAATTAGGACAAATATGTTGATCCCTATTTCACTATAGAGAAGTTTAAAGCTACATATTCTTTTCAGATTACTCTGATGCCAAGACGGGATCAATGGGCACAAAAAAATGGGGAGAAAATATATCCACCTATTATCAAACGTCCACCTGGACGACCAAGAAAAAACAGAATTAAATCATCAGATGATTCTAAAAGAAGACACAAATGTACGCTATGTGGACAGTATGGACACCGTGAAAAAACATGTAAAAATCCAGCATCTCAAAGTTTGGACCAAAGTGAAACATCCACATCTAAAAGGTTACTCAAATTTCTATTTTTTTTTCATTAAACAACAACAATACTAACAATGAAGATAATATTTTTATTCATTTTAGGAAACGTGGAACGAATACAAAATCGCAGGATGGTTTGGGAGTTTCGGGGTCTATATGAAAAAAGCTTGTGAATTAGTTGGTCATTTTAACAATTTTGTAAGCTTTAGTTGCAAATGTTCTTAACTAGGGTTCAATTGATGGATTCTTTTTTTAGTACGTGACATAAATAAATATTTTAATATAGTTTTTCTTTTGTTAGTACGTGACATAACAATTTATTTTCTACAATAACAAATTTAAAGTCAAAGGACCAAGCTGTAATATGTGTAAATTTAAAGTTCAGGGACCAAACTGTAATAATTGCAAAACTAAAGTCCAGGGACCAAGTTGTACTAATTGCAAATTTAAAGTCAAAAGACCAAACTGTAATATGTGTAAATTTAAAGTTCAGGGACCAAACTGTAATAATTGCAAAACTCAAGTCCAGGGACCAAACTGTACTAATTGCAAATTTAAAGTCAAAAGACCAAACTGTAATATGTGTAAATTTAAAGTTCAGGGACCAAACTGTAATATGTGTAAATTTATGGTCCAAGGACCAAACTGTAATATGTGCAAAATATAAAAGTATAGGCACCAAAATGTAATATGTGCAAATTTTAAAACAACACTAATGCCAAATATATACTTTAATGACCAAAATTGTAAATATTAAAGTATATAGATCAAAAATATAGTTGTTCTAATCAAGTATTACAAATTTTTAGACGTTCAAAATATGACTCATGATTTCTCAAAGTACAATGCTATTTCTTGAATTCAACCATTCTTTTTCTATCTCTTCATTTGCCGAGTAATGGGATAAATGAAAGCAAGACTTGTGAAGCATCAGAAGCTCCAACAGCAAAAAAGAATATTGACCCTGTATTGTTTACTGGAGTGTTCCTGACAATGTAGCAATGGAAACCGATAATGCAACCTTTGGTGATAAACTTAGATCTGCTTCTCAAAGTGATCATAAGTTCTGCAACAAAATCAAAAGTCAATGAACATGTTCAAGACCTTAACATTTTGGATAATAATAATGAGAGTGAGGGGAGCATAAACATTCTTTTTTTTTTGGAACTTCTACCCACTCAAAAATTTCAATAATAAAAAAGAAACATTTCTATTATCAGCAAGAAAAAGAAGACACATTTTGTTTAAAACAAGAAACAAAGCATAGTTTAACAAGTTAAAAACTTGTTCAAGATTTATGAAAATGCAAGATTACATACCCTAATTTTGAATAGCCTTCCCAACAGTGAAAACTAATATGGTAATGAAACTTCTAGCTCTATTTTCTCATGAATTCCCTTTTGCTATCGTGATGCACCTTGAAATTTGTTTCTAAATCACTCATTTGGTATAAAGGAAGAATGAAGCAATAGTTAAATGCATGTCAACAATAAGTAAAATCCTATGTTTAACATGATTAACAGGCCTCTAAATTCAACTAATAGTGTCTATCACTATGTTCTTGGTATATCAATATATAATATGGCTTGAATACTCAGAACTTTCACATGATTAACATGATTAACAGAGTACTGAATCTAACTTCAACCATTAGTGTCTATCACTATAAAAGACACCCAAGATTCAGACTTCTCTCCATCAATATACGTTAGTTACTATTGCACTATATCATGAACTTCATCTTAGAACATCAACAAATCTAACAATTAAACAAGATTAGCAGGCCTCCAAATTCAACCTTTGCTCCTGGCATTGTATTCCACCGATTTTGCCAGACAAAAAGTTAAAAAAAAATATCTCTTTTCGAGAGTGTAAAGCTTAATTAGAAACATGTACCTGAATTAGAGTAGGAGATTTCACTTATAACCTAAGAACAGACGATGAGAAGAAACCTATCAGGCAGTCGATCGGCATTATATGCGTGTGTGTGACACCCGCAATGCAACAATCGGAGGTATGACGGAGCAGCAGGCTCGATCGAGTTTTTGTGTGTGTGTATGACACCGGCGAACCAGCAATCGGAAGTTTGACGCAGTAGGCTCGATGGAGATTTTGTGATGGGGAAGAAAGCTTCGGTCGGGACAGAGATTGGATCGGAAAAAAGGGGAGATAGGGCACACTGATTCTTGGTAAAGAAATTACAAGGGCATTATTGTCCAATTCATATATATTTTCAATTATAATGAATTAATATAATTAAAGAGAAATATAAATCAATAAAAATTATTAAAAAAATAAATTTGGGCATATATGATATTAAAAAATATTAGGAATGACAAATACGATATTTGGAATTTAGGCTGAGCAAATACGATATTTAGCTGTTTAGGAAGGGTATATACGAAATTCTGCCTTTGAAAAAATCAAATTAACATTCGTGTAAACCGATTGTTAATACTTAATATTGTCATTGTGTTTGATAAATCTAAAGTTTAAAAAGTATGATGTTTTGTGTTTTGGAAATATGAGGCTAGAGACAATTTTTTGAAGTATTACGACTTTTTATTCTTGTTAGACTATCTAATATAATTTTAGAAACAACTCTAATAATTTAATATAAGATTAACCATATATATTATAAATGAAATAAAATAAAATAATTATTAAAAACTAATATTTAATTCTCATTTTAATAATAAAAAAATAATCCGAATCATAAATTGATAATTTTGTTTTTGTCTAAACAAATCTAAAAATCTTAATATTTCGGTATAATTCAATTATGATAAAACAAAAGTAACAATGCACAAAATTTAACAAACATAAGCACGTTAAATCGAAAATGTATATATGTGAACAAAAGAATCACGAATCAAAAAATAAACTTGTTGATATATAGTGAATTGAAACACGAAAATATGTAAATTGTAATAACAAAGTGTAAGACAAAAATAGTTTTGATATGGGACGACCTTGATGATACAACAATCAATTGAAGAATTGATCTTGAATATGTCATAAATCATCGTGTTTGTGTTTCCGTCATGAGAAAAATGAATTTGTAAGAAAATATCAATGTATGTTTCTAGGCCTTCAAATTATATCTTACTTCGTGTATTTATAACCTTCTGATGGCCATCAAATGAAAAATAAATATTGTAAAACTACAAGCAAGTAACACCTCGTTAAAATAATTTAATAAATATAAATGAATTAAAAAATTAATTTTCAGATTTATAGTTAAAAATAAGACAAATTGCAACAAAGTTATTAAGTTAATCAAAATTTTCGATTTTGATACTGTACTTTTTTTGTCTCTCAATTAAGTCATTATATTTACAATTTAGTTGCAATATCAACCAAATGATTGGTTCTCAATATTTTTCTGGTAACCATTTTCCTAAATTTCAATAAAGTCACTAAGTTTACTAAAATTTCGATTTTGACCCTATGTTTTCCCCTCAATTATGTCATTACATTTATAATATTGTTGCAATGTTAACCATTTGACTGATTGTCATCAATCTAACAGTTTACCAAATAAAAGACATGACAATATTGTGATGTGCAGGCCATGCCATATCTTATGTGGTAGGACCGACTTTCAAATATAGGGTTTGCGTTGAACCAAATTTCACATATCTTTTTCTCTTATTCCCGTCTTCTCGACAGAGTAATTCTTTACAAACGGCGTTTGAATGTCAGTCTAGTGATTCAAACTCACATACAACAAGTAAATGAAGACCCCTACAAGGTTGATTCAGTAGATGCTTAGTGAGTTTTAAGCACTAGATCGATCGTTTAAATGTCTTCATTTACTTATTGTACAAATCAAGCTTCTAAACCATAATAGCATCTCTTGGAAGTGAATGTGAACTATTAGACTGAAATTCAGACATTATTTGTGAAGAAATACTATGACAAGAAGATTGATAGAGAAAAAGATATGTGAAATTGGGTTCGATGCAAACCCTATATTTGAAACTCAATTATGCCACATAAGATATGACGTGGCCTTAAAATCTCAATATTGTCATGTGTTAACCTGCTAGATTGATGGTAATCGGTCAATTGGTTGACATTGCAACAAAATTATAAATGTAATTACATAATTTAAAAAAAACAAAACACAATGTCAAAATCAAAATTTTGATAAACTTAAAGACTGTATTACAATTTAAGAAAAATGGTTACTAGAAGAACAAGAAGAACCACTCATTAGTGATTTTTTTACAATTTACCCTTGAAAATATACTATTATTTAGTCAAAAAGAATGCAAGACCATATATTAATACATAATTATATATTAAATCTAAGACTTTTTCTAATCCAATATCACCGGCACAACACCACAACCCAAACTCAAAATGTTTAAACCATTATTAGTTCGATAACATGAGTGGAATGTTTCCTCTTTTTCCCTAGGTAGGGCAAGTAACCCATATCGAATTGTATAACAAAGTTCCAAGGCATTCAAATAATTCAATTCGACAAATTGATTTATCTGAATCTTGAGATCGACCCTAAACAAAATGAATAAAGAAGCTTAAAGCCTTCACACGCTGACATGGCCACATGGGTGTTCCTTAAATCCTAAATTTTAGATTTTTACAATATTAAATCTTATTTTGGAAGATAAGTAATGTTGGGAATTCATCTTAAAACTTGTTTTTTTACTATATCAAAGTCATTGGAGGAGAGACTAGCTTTGTAGTTTGCATAGTCTTATATTTTATACATGTATAAAATATAAGTACAAAGAAAAATTGATATACAATATATGTAAAATATAATGAATATGTCGAGGTTTTCATTTCACAATTGTTTGAATGATAGCATCTTTTATTAACTCCCATTTCACAATGAACACAAATGACCAATCTGTCCCTCAAGGTTTTCTTTTCACACTAAAGCTATAAAATATAAATGCCGGTTTATACACACAAACCTCCTTGTCCGTATCAAAAACTATATAGTATATCTATAATCCCCCACAAATCATGGGAAAAAGGGCAAAAAAGTAATTTCAGACAAAAATCTTACGGCCTTAATCTCCATCCCCTTTCAGCAAGCGCTTCATGTACTCGATTTGCAGCCTCTGCAGTGTCATTTAAAGGCGGGTAACTCCAGCTTTCCGACATCTACAAAAAAAAAAATTATATAAATATTTTTTTTATAAAAAAAAAAAAAAAAAAATTGTCGTTAAAATATCAAGAAGATGAAAATAGCAAACCAACTTACATCCTCTAGACCTGTAAATGGCCTAACAAGACCTCTTTCTTTTAATGTTTTATGAAATTCTCCAAATTTCCATTTGCATCGATCAGCTCCAATCACATATACAGGTTTTCTATATAAAAAAAAAAAAATAAAAAAAAAAAAAAAGGAAATTAAGTAGGATGAATGGTTGACTTTTTGACTTTTTTGTTAAATGATTTACCCAGTGCTGCAGGCTTCACTCAACATGCTGATTGAATCTGCTGAGACAATGAATGCATCTGCCCATGCTAAATGTCCCATGTGTGGATTTGGTTCTGGATTTATAAAATTAAAAATAAATAAATAAGGAAAATAATTTATAGTATTTAATCATGAGGATGTTTTTTAAAAGTTGGATTAATTACCTTCGTTATCCCATATATAGATTTTTGGAAATTCTGCGAGTTCTTTTCTCACATAAGTTGCAATCTGTTGATATGTTTGTAGAAGGAATGATTAATATATTATAGAACAAGATGCAACAAACAAGTCAACATAGATATTTATTTTTAAAAAATAAGTATTCAGAATAAAATAAATTATATACCTTATCTGGAGTTCTTCTTGAAAAAGAAATTCTTACACTCCCACAGGTGTCAAGAACACCCTTCAAATAGGTAGTTAGCTGCTTTGCGAGGTCTGTGCTATATCTACATCGGCCTTTTTTTATAGAAAGTAGAAACAAAATAAGATAATATTTAAAATTTAATAAAAATAGGATTAAGTAATAATAATTACTTGTGGGGCCCCCAATGTTGACCACGATTAAGGGTTTTGGTAAAGGTGCAAACTCATCATGCCAGGCAATAGCTGCACTGCGAAGTGCAGCAGAATCAACTTGATGCAGTGATCCCAATGTAAGTACCTGACAGAAGGGCAAAATGGTCATTTACTCATATTCAAACAGTTCATTCGCACCAAAAAGAGAACAGACTATAGTGTATGTTTATCTATTCAGCACCGACTCTAGAGTCTAGACAGACATAATTTACAACAGCTGTCAAATACACAGTCATTCGTTATTCAGCATTTTTTTTTATAAACAAAAGGGTAAAATGGTCATTTACTCACAGTTCATTCAGACCAAAAAAGAAACAGACTTGTGTAATGTATACAACACCTACTGCAAACAGACATCATTTACCCATTCTGAACTTACTCTAAAAATATTAAATAAACAGTCATTTGTTAATTGTTGTTATTCAGCATTGCTTCTAAACAAAAGGGTAAAATGGTCATTTAATCACAAAAAGAAAGACTTTTATGTATACAGCACATACTACAGACAGACATCATTTACCCATTCAGAACTTACCGTAGACAGATCAAATAAACAGTCACTTGTTATTCAGCATTGCTTCTAAACAAAAGGGTAAAATGGTCATTTACTCACAGTTCATTCAGACCAAAAAAGAAAGACTATGTATACAGCAGATACTACAGACAGACATCATTTACCCATCCAGAACTTACTAAAGACAGATCAAATAAACAGTCATTTGTTATTCAACCTTGTTTCTAAACAAAAGGGTAAAATGGTCATTTACTCGGATTAAGATAGTACATACCACGTTCTTAGTAGGGGGCTCATCAGGAGTCATATACTTGCGAAGAAACTTAGGAACCTGCTCTTGTGCATGAGGGGTAAGAGCGTAATAATCATGTTGAGGAGCAACCACCAAGTCAAACCTACTCACTTGTCTTCTTGGATGTTGAATCTGAAACCCAATTACCAAATGTTAAAAAGATTCGATTAAAAATGTTTATTTCACTGATTAATGTAAGGAGAAAAGGGTTCGAGTTGACTCACCTGAACAACAAACACATTTTCAGATGCTAATCTTTTTATAGAGCTAGCAATTGATATGGTGTCTCTACCACATGCAACCACCAATAAAGGCCCATCCCTTACCAAAAAAAAAAAAAAAGATTAATGATAAAAGAAATGAAAATTTTAGTTACAAGTATTGAGTATTGACTTAACATCAGCTTCAAGAAAGGCTTACTTGTCAGCAGTTCCTCTTGCCATTGTTACTATTGACTTAACATCAGCTTCAAGTATAGATGATAAGCCTACATTTCCACCATTTTCTGAGGTCAAAGATTTGACTTTACTCCCTTTAGTTGTAAATAGAACTTGTGAATAGCTGTAAATCAGTCTGATGATGTAATATATCTGTTTATGGACAGAAACTGGAAGCCAGTGTAGATATTCATTGATTCCTCCACTTGGCCTAGTAACACGCTGCATGTGTTGCCACAAGAACAATAACACATTAAAGAATATATTTTAAGTTTTTGACAAGATTACCCTTTCTTCAAAAGAGCAACATTGTATTCTCTTTTCAGTCATATTAGGATAACACATATCACCTATAAATTATAATGAACAATCTTGCTACCATTTTTAGAATCAAAAGAGGGGCATCAAGAAAGCATTTATCCACCTAAGTTTTTTCAACATTCCTTCATCATATGGATAAACAGAAAATCATCTTCTGTAAGAGTGTTGTTCAAGTTATAGTTATTACAGGTAAATCTAAATCAATAAAATCACAATCATATTGCTCCATCAGTCCCAAGAAGAAGAAGAAGACAAATCGTTGGTATCCAAATGAAAATTTGATATCAGCTAAGTATCTACTCATCTACCGGTGTGAAATATCACATGAACCCTAACTGATTCCTCATTAAAGGCAGGCAACGAATCTAACAGCAAAGCCTTCCAATTGCAGCCTTTCAATAGAGACTGATGCTGTTAATCTGTTATCAATTTGTTTTTGATGTTAAAGGATTCATCTAACTTGCTAATTAGCTCATTTGAGATGAGAACTCGAGGTGAATTAAGAAAGGGAGGGAATTTCGTTCCATAACCTAAATTCTCTATTCAAATAACACTATACCTAATAATATCATTGTTGAAGTGCACTAAAACATCTGTTTAAGCTACAAACTGGACAAATACGTTTACAGCTTCATTTCTTCAGAAAATTAAAACGAAAAATCAAACAGAATTGCAAAACTGCAAGACAAAAAACCAGAACTTACATATAGAGTTTGTTTTTCCGACAATCCAAGTGCTCTAACTAAACCAATGCTCTGATTCTCCGACGCCGGGAAACCGTTACCGATAATAACAGCCCGTTTGACGACACCGTAAACCCCGCCTTCAAAGATGTCCGGTACGCCTCTCGGTGGACTACCCGGCGGTTCCGGAAGCCTAATTGGCTTCATCTGCGTATCTTTTACGCTCCAAATTGATCGTGTGCTTTGACTTCAAATCCGTGATATACAAGATGCTGAATCTGAAGTATTGAAGAATGGTGGCGGAGGAAGTTTGCTATTTGTAAACGACAAGGCACTTGCGACTCAGTGTATTTATCTAATGAGTTGGCGAGTCATGACTCGGCTGTGAGATGACGAGTTCTGATTTGTTAAACTTTACAAAAACAGCAACATACTTTGTTTGATGTCATAGTTTAGCCTCATAACTTCTCTTTTTGAAGAAAAAAAACCCCCAAAATGTTTTATATTGACCTTGACATATTTAAGGCCAAATTCTATAAAAAATCATTGTCTTAAAAAAATCTAATTTAATTACTGGAAGCTTGTTTATTTTTTCAACAAAAAAAAAACATTTTGGGTAAAAAAAAAAAAAAACCGATGAATATTTAAAGTATTTTTTATTTTAAAAAAAAAAAGTAAAAGTTTTCATGGTTAATCATTAAAAATAATTTCTTCAAATGGTTATCATTTTTGGTCACTTAACTTTTAGTTTTGTGCTTATTTTGTCACTTAACTTTTTTTAAGTTTTAAAAGGTCATCAAACTTTTAACTTTGTATCCATTTAGTCACTTAACTTTTGGTTTGGTCACATTTAATCACTTAACTTTTAGATTTGGGCTCATTTAGTCACCTAACTTTTAAAATTGTACTCATTTAGTCACTAAACTTTTGAAAAAATTTAAAAGTTTAGTGACTAAATGAGCATAATTTTAAAAGTTCAGTGACTAAATGTGACCAAACCAAAAGTTAAGTGACTAAATGAGCACAAAACCAAAAGTTTGATGACCTTGTAAAACTTAAAAATAGTTAAGTGACCAAATGAACACAAAACCAAAAGTTAAGTGACCAAAAATGACCAAATTCCAAATTATAGTGGTTTTATAAAGTTTAAAATTTTATGAGCAATAGTTCTATATGGTTAAATTATAAAACAAAAAAAAATTAATAGATACATTAAATAAAACCATAATACAGTATTTTTTATGAAATTTAACATATACCCAATACGTTAACAAATTTTTTGGATTAATGATTTTAATACATAAAACTTCTACATTTAGTATAAAGTTATTGAAATGATTATTAAAGAACAAATTTTATTGTCAATGTATATTAAAATCAACCTAAAAAGTTTCTAGATATGTTTTTGAAAAACAAATTTAAGATAAATCTACCTTTCGGTGTTCTCCTTACATTCTTTTAGATTGGGTAAGGTAGATGTTGGTTGATGATCAATAACATTTATCATTATATTGTTACTCCCAAAAATTAAATTGAAAGTTTTATAATTTATATTATCCAAAATCTTACTTTTTGACTCATCATGAACTTATAGATTTCTACCAAATAATGTTCTTATGATAATTGATAAGAGTTATTAATATAAAATATATTATTTATAAACCGAAATATTCATAAAGATTTTTGTTCTATCTCTTGGTTTTGAAATAGCATTGTTAAGCCTTGTTTGATATGCATCTGCCCGAGTTGCTGACTCGGTCAACTAAAGATGTTTAGATGTTTGATAAACTAAATTTGGGTGTCTGACTCGCAAAGTTTAATCTAATCAGATAAGATGGAAGAAATCGGTTGATTGAGAAAGGGAGAGGAAAAGGAGAAGGGTTTCCAATTGTACCCTTGCCCTACCGAAAGAAGAAATCAATGACTCCATCGTTTCCTCTTCTTCTAACACCGATTTTCTTCTCCTGCAACCAGCAATCGTCGGCGATCCTTTTCTCATTGGTTCCGATTTTTTGAAGCCTCCTTTGTCTTCTCATCAGGTACGTTTCTTCCTTTTTCCTCTTCTCATCATTTTTGATTTTTTTAATAATATATGGGTTTTGATTTATGATTCTTCTAGTGAACATGTATGGCTCTTCATTGAATTCTGGAATTTTATCAATGAATTTAGGCCCTATGCTCAATTTCATCATATTTCTCTTTGTTTTAGATGTGTGCTCAATTTCAAGGACGGGGAGAAACATGTGATATTTGTTGCTCTTATTTTCTTGATTTGTAGTTGCAATTTGTATTAAAATAACAAAGAAAACATGTTGGTAAGGGATGATTAATTGCAACCTGCTGGTAAGTCCAATTGCATATTCTATTTTATAAATCCATGTTTATAATCATACAAATTTTTGTTGGTAGTGCTATAACAGATGATTGATGTGGAATTGGAAAATTCTTAATGTTGAAAAACTTTTAAGCTTTTGGAGCTCCTAACACATGCTATATTTTTTATAAAATGTGTGAACCAATATTTAGAGTTTATTGAAACCAGATGGAGTGGGTGCAGTCTAGGCCGCACTCTACCCGCCACATCATCACGCACACCGCCCCTTGAGTGCGGTCCAGGTGCGGTCTAGGCCGCACTGTGGCCTTCCAGATGTGCACTCCCCTTTCTCTTTGTCCTATTTTACTTGGTCTCTCTCTCTCTCCTTTTCTCAACCAATCATCTTTCTTTCTTTTTCTTTTCTTTTCTCCCTCCTAACCGTTTTCCCACTCCCACCTTGTGGTTTCAAATTGATAAAATAAGAAAAAAAAATATGAGTTGGCATCTACGTGGCATAAGAGGGAGTGTGGTTTCAGTGACATCACTCCCTCCAGCCTAATAGGTATACAAGATCCTGCTATATGTTGATGCATTTTTTATTGATATATTGTTGTCTATCAAGGTCATCAATTTAGTCAATTTTATCAAAAACCTATGATATGGTGGATGACCCGAGATTAAACCAGATTATCCCATGGAGCGATCGTTCAAGGATAATGGTGCAAGCTTTCATTTTGTTCTATGCATCTATAGCATAGTTCTTCTTTGTATATCATCTTTCCTCTTCCCCTTGTAAATTTCTCAATGTAATCTGATACTTAGACATAGATAATGAAGGTGTTTGTTTCTTGATCCATATTCTCACTTGGTTTTATTATTATTTTTTTTAAGTTTATATTCTCACTTGACATTGAACTCTTATGTGCTTCTTCATTACCTTATATTAATGAGATGAGCTATTTATCATGTGAATAAGAAGAATAAGCTTGTTGATATATATTAATGAGACGTACAATCAAGCAGTAAGGGTAAATGGTCATTCTTCATCACTTAACGCATTCAGTTAAATGTATAATCAAACAACATCTGACTCAGTCAGAATTTCTTACCCTGATAGACATTTCCGAATGAGCATTTTTTTAGCAACAACTATCAAACAGGACCTTAGTGTATCTTATGCGACTAATATAATTGTCTAGTATACGAGTTGATCATTTTCCCATCTTGTAATGTCATCAACCTTGAATTTTATAATCCTTGATAAAAAAAAAAAAAAAAAATACTTCATTGACCAAATTTAACATAGGGTTGAAGAATTTAAACTAATTTATCAATTTTGACCTAAATATGTTCATTTTGATGTGCTCATTAAAGGTATCTTTATAATGAATTACGTAGTATTTTCTTACTTTTACCTTATGATTTGGAAATTAAAAGCATTTTATTCTATGTCTACGATTCTTCATGATTTGTAATTTGTTTAGATTGTGTTGTCACATAAATTAATTTAAATAATGACAAAAAGTTAAAATGTGTAGCAAAAATGTATCTTATAAAATTATGAATGATTTTCTTTTGCAAAAAGAGAGTTAACAACTAAAAATTATTTTATATAAAATAGTTTATTTTCTCATGCACTTGAACTCATGACATTTAATATTCCACTTGTCATTTGGTAATTAATCAAATAATATTAATAATTAGTAAATTTAATTAATTTTACATCTTCCTATACTAATAAAATAGTAGTTTTTTTATCATGTGTCACTATATTAGACCTCTTAATTAATATGTTGCCACTTGTTAATCTATTAGTTCTCCATTTTAAATTTATTGGACCTCATCATTAATATGATGCTATTTGTCAATGTATTTATTCTCTATTTTAAATTTTAAAATTTATATTATTGTTTTCATTAATTCACAAATAAAAAATATATATTAAAAATCAATTTTACATATTTATTTAAATCAACGATTATAATTTCATATAACTAATAAAAATATCTTTTAAATTAATAATTTATTTAAAATAACTGATTAATAATTTTGAGTTTTACTATAAAAATTTGATTAATTTTATAACCATAGTTCCCACAGGTTATAAACTAGTTCCATTAATAATTCCGTAATATATATATATATATATGTTGGCTTGCTGTTTCTTTTGCTGATATCACACCATCCATCATTTCCATAAAATCAACCTCCTCTTAATTTTAGGAAATCACAATCGTTCAAGAATCCGCAATCATTTCTCCTCTCAACCCTCAAATTAAATTCAAATATCAAACGAAAATCCACTAAATCTCAACATATATCTCTTCAAATCCACCATTTCGCCTCCTTCATCGCAACAATCTCACATTATCCTTATGGAAAAAAAAATCTAAAATCTTTCTAATAACAAAGTTGAAAGGTATGACATGATGATCCGAAGCTGAACTGAAGCTCTTATCCACTCTTGCACGCGCCCTATTTTAATTTTAGGGTTTTATACTTCTTGGATAACAAGCACATGTAGTCTTTATCATTAATTCCTCTCTTCGTGTAGTTGTTTTGTAGTCTTTATCATTAATTAATGTATCAATTGATCTAACTTTAATTTAATCAACATGTTGTCAATGGAAGGATCATATAATCCTTCTTTGGATACAAACCAAGTACAATATCAAATTTAAGACGCAAAAAACTACAAGTATATTCATATAATTTACACAGGAAATAACAAGTGCTTTTAGTGTCAAATACACAACCTGAACAAAGCAGAAGCTTTACCCCACCCCCACCCCCAACTCACATAAAAAAACAATAAACCAATGAAGAGTAATCTATCACATACCTCAAGACAAACAAGTTAAGATCTGCATGAAGGCAAAGTAAGGCCTCCACAACAAGCTGCAACTATTATATACAATAATAGAAATATCAACCCTGTCAATAAAGCCCTGAAATTTATCCCAATATAAGTGATAAGTCCCACTGATTTATAAATTATAAACATTGAGTAATAATGATATAGTAATATACTAATATTTATAGTTATATACTTACAGTAGTTTGAAATTTTTCATCCAAAGAGCTCTACGAAGTCTCTTTGATTGTTTCTTGAAATGAAAGGCACTATCTTGCATTGTTGCAGTTTTATCAACAAGAAGCTCGATTCTATCACCTCTCTCTAATATCTTCTCAATGTTATCCACCATAATCGTGCGTACCTGAATAAAGGAATGTAATTGATTTAATAATTGGTATTAAGTTTTGTGAATTACTTGAGGTGAAAGAAGTTTTGTGTTGTGTCTTGGAATTTAGATAGAATACTTGCCTCACCAACTTCACTTCTAACACGGGTGAGTGTATCTGCACTTGGATTACTTGAGAAAAACTCCATTTGTTGATGTAAAACCCTTGAAAATTCATCGTTCATGGCATATGCAGGAGCATATGGTGCTACTTTCCCATAGTTTTTCAAGAACCTCATTTGAATGTCTTCTAAGTATGAAAATGGGATTCTTCCTGCAAAAATATCATGTATTAGTACATATTGTCAGATTTCATACCAAGTGATTTTGAATAAGATCACAGATTATTGATTTGAAACTCATGATTCCATTGAAACATAAAAGCATGATGTCTGTTCTATAGGATATAGGTTTCATAAGAATTTGAATACACTGAACTGTGAATTGAAGTATAAATCTAATTCATGAAGTAGCTTTTCAATCGTATCACACGAAATCATAACTAGAAATTCCTCAGTGAGCACAAACAAACTCGTATACTTTCAGGAATTATGGTGAATTTGATGCAAAATTGTTGGTAGGGGCGGATTTCCCTAAATTAAGTATACGCATTTGTTCACGAAATTTCTGTTAATTGAACAGTAGATAAATCATTCAATCAAGTTCGTCTATTTCCAACACCCTAAAATCTAATCATCTTAATACAACGTCAATCTAAAACTTGTAAAACAGATCGGTGTGAGTAAAACTGCGTGTCAGAGTGTGTGCAGGGGAGAGAAAGGAGAGATACGAACTTCCAAAGGTATCGTTAGCCATACAGAGGAAGATGAACGAGTCAGATCTGAGTATATGGAAGATGTAACGATCCTGAGAAAAACATAGTCTAGATTCAACCTCCGCCGGTAACTTCTCAAGAATCCGGCGAGCAACTGCTCCGGTGTTACCAGATACGGCGCTGAACTCCGCCAGCACCGTCGTGCCCCTCGCTACCAGCGCATACAGAATTGCCATTGATTTCGCCGATAATTTCCTCTCCGCCTACACACTCAAAATTTGGCGATTATCTCTGTCATCGAAGAACCCTCTGTTGGTTGACTCAATTGGAGAAAATAAATTATGTTTTATTCTTTTTATCACCATAAACTTTCAAATCTTTTCAAAACGGTCACAAAAGTTTAATATTTTCTACTTAAGACCACAATCCAGTTTTTGGTAACTTTTTAACCACACGTAACGATTATGATATTAATGTTACGGAAATCTCCAAAAAAATCTAACTATTTTATCCTAATTTACGAATAAGTTCCAAACCAAAATTTGTTTACGAAAAAACATGAATTGCTGTAAAAGTGAAGATTTGACCATTTTTTTTTACCGGTTTACCGGTTTCATTACTGATATAGTTCCATTAAAATCTTATTATTTTTACTTAAATTTACGAATAAGTCTCAAACTAAAATTACAAAATAATTTAACAATTTTCTCTCTATAACATACATTGTATCGGTTTCATTGTTAACCTGGACGTCTAGTCATTAAATGAGTTAATGAGATGGATACGATGAGTTATATAATGATATGTTTACTGTAAAACTTGATAGTCATCTCATCAGCCCGTTTATGACTATGTGTTCAGGTCAGCAATGAATCCGGTAAAATGTGTGTTTCCGGAAAGAAAGAAAAAAAAACGGAAAATGAGTTGATAAGATGGATATTATGGGTTACATAAGATTAGATAGGTAATTTGAAATTTCTTATAAACTCCAAAATTGACGAAATTGTTGCTAGTTTATGTAATTATTGCAGTCTTCGTTAGATGCATTTTATATTTCATAGAATATACAATGTAGCACGATATCAAGTTTTATAGTAAATATAGCATTATATAACTCAACATATTCATCTCATCAGGTCATTTAATGACTAGATGTCCAGATTAACAATGAAATCGGTAAAACATATGTTACATAGCGAAAATGGCCAACTCATCACTTAATTTTAGTTTGGGACTTATTCGTAAATTAGCGTAAAATAATGGGACTTTAATGTAACCAGGTCAACAATGAAACAAATAAACCGGAAAAAAAGGTTAACCCGTCATCTTTACTGATAATTCATGTTTTTTCGTAAACAAATTTTAGTTTAGAACTTATTCATAAATTTGTTTAAAATATTAAGACTTTTCTAGAGATTTCTCTTAATGTTAAAATTATTAGATTTTGAGAAATATATAATAACTTGTAAAAGAACATATGGTCAATGTTAAGTCATGCTAATTATGTGGACAAAACATGTCAATGGTAAGTCATGCTAATTATACGGACAAAACATGTCATCATCATGAAAGGCAACAAAAACATATTAGTCGTCATATAAACATATTCATTGCAAGATAAACATGCCAAAATATCTTATCAACCACTTCTTCATGTATAGAACTTTTATATAAAACATATGTTATTATTTTTTACTTTTGATTAATGAATTAAAAGGTTTTCTATCTGTTTGTAATTTTTATATATCATTAATTACTCTCTAACAAAGTTTTTGACATGTTGTGTTTTTGGTGTTGATATGTCTGTTAGGAATCAAACGATCTATAAAAAAAACTATTGCACAACATAAAGTAACATCTTAAAATTTGAAGACAAATTTCCAAAAATGGTCCATGTGATTGGCAAATTTATGTGATTTTGGTCCAAAACGATACCTTGCTGCACCATTGGTCTAAAATTGGATCTTTTTATTGTTTTTTTGGTCCCTCACACTAACTTACATTTATTTATGCCGTTAGTTGCAATTAAGATGAGGGTATTTTCGTCTTTCCCCCTACAAGGACCTTTTTTGCAACCTTATTTAAAATAAAAGCAGGAGCTACATCACTCTTCCATCTTCAACCTTCATGAGCTTCATATTCTTCATAAATGTGTACCCTTTTGATTGTTGTAATGACAATGTAATGCAATTATAACCTAATGTTAATGTTTATTTGTTGTTTCAGAACAAAGTCATCAAAGCCTCTAAATGTGGTTCCATAAACATGACAACAAAGTTATTATAAACCATAAATATCATTCTTTAATAATCACAAAGTTTTTCTAAACCATTACATCATTCTTTAACAATCACAAAAGGTTGACATTAGTTTCATGCACAAAAGGGCTAAAAGACCAAAATAAAACCATGACAACAAACTAGTTCTAAACCATTACATCCAAATGCACAAAAGTTGTTCTAAACCAAAAGATAAGATTTTAAACAAAATACATTAATTCATGCATTGATTGCCACCACCATTCCCTCCTTAACTGCTTCATGCATTCCCTCCTTGACTGCTTCCTGCATTCCCTCCTTTATCCTTGCAAGTCCTAGAGTTATGACCCTTACTGTTGCATTTCCCACACTTGACACTAACAAACTTTCTGGTAAGTTATTCTAATGAGAAATCATAAATTGAAAAGTTCGTATATCTAGATTTCATTAACCTAAAACTATGGTAAGTAACGAACCAAACCGATAAAACAATGTTGTATACTCATCGGGAGCGTGTAAGATCCTTAAACATGGCTTAACGGGGCTTACAGACCTTGCGTTGTGAAGCCAAGCTCTCAAAAAGGTCACAAAAGAAGCCTCTCCCAATCTCTTTCGCTTTATCTCTCGCTACCACAAATCTCTCCCAAATCTCGCAAAGTATGTGAAATCTCTCCAAGTATGTGAAATCTCTCCCAGATCTCCACAAGTATGTGAAATCTCTCCTAAATCTCTCTAAGTATGAGAAATCTCTCCAAATATGTGAAATCTCTCCTAAATCTCTCCAAGTATGTGAAATATCTCCCAAATCTCTCAAAGTATGTGAAATCTCTCCCAAATCTCTCTCAAAATCTCTCTCAACTTTTTATAATCACTTGGGGCATCCCGACCCTCAAATTAGACGAAAACAGCTCGAAAACGGAAGTCTATGCGAAAAACAGCCTTAAGGAGCCGAACCCTCTTAGGAATCGAACTTGTCAAAAGCGAACTACCCTATCTCGGACCGAAGGCTCGCATAGACCAAACCTGAAGGTCCTTTCGGACCGAACCTCGCCTGAGCACCGAACCCTACCTTCGCCTTCACCTCTTACCCCTTTCACTCCATTTCGCCTTCGGCCCAGCAGCAGAAGGGACCGAACCTCGGCCCAATACCGAGAGGTCTTGCAGGAAGCCCTTTTCACCCGGTTTTCGACTAGTTTTGCATTTTAGGCCCGTTTTTAATTATTTTAACGCGGGATTTTGACCTAAAACTTTATTTTAACATATAAGGCCCCATATTTATTAATTAATCACGTTTTTAGGATAAATCTTATCCAAGAAGAGTGGGTGAAGTACAAGAGGTGGAGTGTTGACTTTTCTTTAGTTTATGACACAAGCAACCACCCATACCCACTTTATGACCAACCCACACCCCTCCCCACCATATCTAGTCACATCCTTGTACTTTTCCATCAATCTCCATCCATTCTCACGTTCTAATAGCTGGGAAAACTCACATCGCTCCTCACTTCACTCATTTTCTCTTATTTCCACCAAAAGACCAAACACTTTTCTCTCAATTTCGAGATTTCCAAGGCTTTACTTCTACTTTTGGTAGGTATCTTCATCATTCTTATGATTATTACACATCCTCCTACTCAAAATCATAGATTACTTACACAAATTCCATCACATTAGTGTTAGATTCTCGAATCTTCAAGAAATCCTCCAAGTGTTCTTGAGTTGAACACTTCTATTCTTCAACATTCACCCACTGAAATCATATAGGGTGAGTTTATACCCCTATATTTTCACATTTTCTTAAGTTTTAGGGGGGTAGGGGGTGGAGGGGAATACAAGTTAAAACACCAAGAACACAACTAAACTTTCCCAACAACTTTTATCAAGAAAGTTTAACTCCATTCACGGACTGTTTTGGTCAACTTAAACATTTTAGTTTTCAAAACTATATTAGTTGCAAATAGTACAGGTTTACACCTTTAAAATTACTACTTGCACATCTCCATACAATTTTTCTACGATTTATGGTGATTTTTACAAAACAGCCTATCATTTCAAGAACAAATCCGGACCAGTCTGTGAATATGGACATTTTAACACAAGTTAAAGACTTCCAAAAATCATAATAAAAATTTTGGATAAACTAGAGACATTTTATGAAATCTGAGAATTTATGGATCTAGTTTTTGACTTCGTATGATTTTTCTAAAACAGTGCAGAAAGGTTAAAAACTAGTTAACAGCTTATAACCTTCATAGCACTTTGTATTATGTTGAGCAAAGTGTATAACAATAAGTACTAAATATTGAATATGTTTTCTTGTTAGTTTATCATCATAAACTGAAATTTAGTCATTCATGATACGATTCTTCATTCATTTAGAACACATATAATAAGCTATAATAAGCATAGTTTATGGGTTCATAGCACTAATGTATTTTCATAAAAGAGTTCTTTTACATTACAAACATTTTGGATAAACTATAATAGGTATAGTTTATGTATTTCAAACTATTTACCAAAGGTTTTCAATTCAGTTCACGTAAATCTATTAATGAATAAATTTGTGAGTCATTTCCCTTCGTGTTACCTTCATAGTAACAAAGTCAAAAGTCCTGTAAATTATAACCAGAGTCTCTTGTAGGGAGAGCGTGATAGTTGTGTATAGATCTATATTGGGTCTGATAAACCCGCACCTGAGCTGCTTGCAACAGCTAGACCAGCAGGTCTGAGGTGACAAGTGTCATTTAACGCGCGACGCCTGAAGAACGACGTAACTACGAGGCCGTCTGAGTCTTAGCATGGTTATAATAGCTCACATGTGGTATTAACAAATCATAAGATTTGCGAGTTCTACTTTTATATTAGCGAGTTATGTCGATTTAACTCCTATGAATTACTTTAAGTATGGAAAAACACTTGTACATTTTCATATCAAAAAGGGTTTTATGCCGATTTAAAACCACTTTTATATCTTTAAG